CAGCCGGTTCCAGGCGTCTCCCAGGGCCCCAGCGCAGGGCAGGGCCGAGCCCCTCAGACCCAGGTGGGCGCCTTGGGGAAAGCCTGGGGGAGGAAGGGCAAAACTGCAGCTGCCCTGGTGTTTGTCTTTTTGTTTCCCACTAGCTGAATCGGCAAGTCAATATTTACTTTAATTAGCCATAAATTAAGTTCATTAACCCCAAACCAAGTCTGTTTCACCTGTGATGGTAGTTGGTAAGTGGTATCCCTGTCTTCATCCAGACCCTTGAGCTTTCTTGTCCCTTTCTTGTCCCTTATTTTCTCCCCTCATCCCACTAAGGTGGGGAGCGAGCAAGCAGCTGGGCGGGGGTTTTGCTCTTGGCCAAAGGCAAACCCAGCACACAGGCAGGGAGGGGCTGACTCGGAGAACTCAGATTGATGGCAGTCCAGAAATACACAAATACAGAAATATACCAAGCGTGAAGGAGAACAGTTGAAGCAAATGAACAATGTTTGTGAAGGAACAAATGGGTAAAAGCGGAACTGATGAATACATTTACATTACAGACTCGAAGGGGTTGATTTTTAATCCACAAACCTGAAAATCTCTCCTTCTATGAACAGCAAAAATATGAAAAACAGTGAGGACAACAGAACCATTTGAAACAAAAACAATCAAGCAAGGTCAATTCGTAATCTGGCTTACATGACAGTGAGTATCTATAGTAGCAGTAGACAGTCCCTGCGACATGTGAAATCTTCTTTTTTTAATAAGTGAGAGAAGTATTTAATGCAAAGAGAAAACCTTAGGATACTTGAGATATGATTGAAGGGATCAGAATATTGATTTAAAATCTGAAGTACTTTCTGGACAAACAATGAAGATTTCATCCCTAAAAGTGCATTTTCTGAGAGCTCCTTCCAGTGGGATTGAGACGGTAATTCTTATTCAAGCCTATAAAGCAATACAGGATGTTAATAAAAACCATCAGGACCAAAGTTCTTCTTCACCAGAATTCAGCCTGAGAATGAAGGAGCCCCCACTGAACACGTTGTAGAACAGGATCAGTTTAACAACAGCAAAGGCCCTTTAGAATTACATCAATAATGCCTACTCTGCACATCTATTAAAGGCATAACTGAAGGCATTGTTGTTGCTGCACATTCAATAACACGTGAGTCCATCAATGCATTTCTGCCTGCTTCCAGACGACAGCATGTTTCCGTTGTAAAGGGGATCTTGGATCATCATTCAAAATCCACTCTACTGAGACCAACTACAGCCTCCTAAGTGCTTTTTGGAGTCCTTTGCTTTGTTCACAAACTACTTCAAAGCTAAAGAAATGTCCCTCTTGAAGAAAGTCATTTGCTTCAAAAGTTTTGTGTGTTATATTACAGCCAGTTGTTGGGAAAGGGTGGAAAACACTACCATCAGTTCCCAGGTCAAGCAAAGACTGCCTTCTAGGAGGCTGAGCAAATCCATTAGCCCCTTTTCTCCAGCAGAAGTGAAAATGTAAATCCTTACACCTGTAAAATGGAGACAAAACCATTTCCTTGCTATAGAAGAACGCACCATGGTTACATAACATGACTCAAATGCTAAATGCTAAAGTGATTAGGGTCCCAGATATTTAAAGAAAGAAATCTCATTTTCTTAGAAGATTTTCAAATAGAAGAACAAAGCCCCAGCAAATTGAGTGTGGAAAATAATCCTCCGCTGTCCCCACTCTCCAGCAAGCTAGATGAATTTACTTAACTTTTGCAACATCAGTTTCTATGGCTCTGTGCTGGAAAGCTGCCAGAGCTATAGGCAAACAGAAACTGATTCAGCTACTCAGAAGGAACAGAGTATCTGGGAATAGGAAAATTATCTGTGTAGGAGGTTTGCCAGCAATTTCAATCAATTACACTCTAAAAGATAATACCATGAAATCAAAAAGTCCTCTTTAATTAAAAACTCCATTTAAAGAAATATGCATATACATTTAGCTTTATAAAATAAAGACAGAAGAGCTGCTAAGCAGGCTCAGAGTTGCTAAAACTCTGGAACGAGCTAGTTTTAAAAATTAGATTTCTAAATGGGATTTAGAGCTTAATGGGGTCACAACTGTCTTGACTAGTCTTAGTCCAAATAAGTGCAAAAGAGAGACACACTGTTTTTGGAAACTACAAGAAAACCATTGATGAAAATCTCCACACTAGCATGGTACAAATTGTTATTTCTCTTCCCCTTGGCTTGCAAAAGAAGCGAGGCTCTTAGTTTTAAGACTCAACTGGGAATTCAGGAAGTAATTTACAGAATGACAGCCTCTTCAGCATTCAGATGTTTTTAAATTAGGTGTCTGGTCCTTGTACAGACTAAGGGAAGAAAGAGACACTTTCAAGGTAATGTTCAGAGCACCTAAGGTAGTATCTTGCTCTTGTGCCACTTTCCACTGGACCCTCTCTGCATCCAGGGACTACAAAGGTAATATCTGGAGCCCAATATCATAATTTACAGTCCTAAAATAGCTAAAGAAAGTGAGGCAAAACACAGATCAAGTGAGATTTGTGTCTTGTTCAAACTGGCATCGCGATTTCTTGCATTATTACCAGAGCATTTTTGTATAGCTAGCATCATGTCTTGTAGGAGAGGGGAAGGCCTTTAATAAAGTCCATTAGATTTTTGGATAGACTATTAATTTAAATACATTAATTTTTTTCTCTTCTTGAGCTGTAATCCTCCTTCTTTGGCATTTTTTATTTTCTGCCCAGTGGAACGAGGTAGGGATGTATTTTTTAAATGTTTATAGCTTCCTCCAGAAGAAAACAAGGAGAGCTAGTGTAGTAGATCTATTTCAACATCTTCCACACAGCAACCATTATGATGTGGCAATATCTTTTACTGAGAGAAGGTAACAGGGGTGCATTGCTGGCAATGTGGTGGATGGAGTGGCCCAAGTGCAAAACTAGGGTGTAGGAGACCCGATTTCCCTGCTGCTGGTCTACCAAGGGACTTTGGTGCACAAAGTCAAATGACTTTCCTACTCTCCCTGTAAGTAAATTGAAGTTAAAGATACTGAGATCCACCTTAAGCCCTTCATGCTCTTTGACAGAGGACCAAATGCTGTCACAGTTTTACAACATCCTGAAAAGTTCCCCACAACTGAAAGATCAGCTTCTGTCTGGAGAAGAATCCCAGGTAGCAAACATCGGTCTCTCATGAATAGCTTTTCATTGTATGTCTGTCTCTAACAGGGGAACAAGCAGCTTGAGGTAACAAGTTGTTTCCAAGAAAATCAGTAGGACTGTTCATCCAACTAATTCACTACTCATCTTGGTAAAATCAGGAATCCAGGATTAAAACCTAGGTTATTCTTTGCATTCAACTTTGACTTTTTAAATCAGAACTTTCCATGTGTCCTACCAGTAACCACTATGTTTTTATTCTTTCCGGGAATAAATAAATTAATTTTTCTATGCCCTTACATAGAAGCTGATATTATTGAGGTGTTAAGGGACATCTTCATGGAATCCTGTATACTCACATTTATACTTTAAACACTTCCAAAGGTGCTAAAATCAGGGACCAGAGGTCCCTATTATAATCTGGAGAGAGAGTGGCGTTTTAGCATGAAACTGAGAGCACATCAATTAGATGCCTGGAAAGGTGAATGGGCTTCAAGCAGCAGTAACGCACAGGGCTGCCAGATACAGACTCATTGGCCAGCATCCCTTCCATGTGATAGCATTGCCACCGCAAAGCTCATATGCTCCACAGTATGGTCTGAGGTGCTCAAGCCAAATTAACACATGCCTTGACTCCTCTGTAAGGATCCTGGCATCTGCTAACACCACACTTCAGAACAGAGGGCAGCTTGGTTTTGACAAGGATGTATTTCTTTCTGAAGCACAGAGTCCTTGTTCCCCACAGCATCTCAGAACAAGGAAGGACTGAATGTTCAAACTGAAGCTCCCTCTTCATCTTCATCAGGTAAATCTCTCAGTGAATCTTTACATTGGTGCTGGCACTGTCAATGTTAATACTGTACCTGCTTCATGGCTGAATGGAGGGTGCTAGTCTATGATGCCAGTCTAGCAAATATATCCAGGGCTAACTGATGCTCCAGGGAACAATTTCAACTTTGCAAAAAGGTACTCTCAGACATACAGCAATCATCATCTTGAAAAAAAAACCCAACCCAAAATGCAAGCATTCGATTGTCTGGGTAGCAGGCGTTTGAAAAATCTTGTTGTTCTAGGCAGTAACTGTAACAAAGAACAGAATTGCTGCTTGTGGAGTAGGAGGAAGAGTTCAAAATGAATGAACACAACTCATTGGTTGCAGTAAGCTTTACAAAAAATCTGCTTTCTAATTCCAGAGACCACTAATAGAGAAGCATATGCTCTATTTTAAGCTGTATATACTGTAATGGATAGCTACAATTACTTCAACAGAGTAAGGAACAGTATCAGCCAATACGTACTGTAAGTCAGGCAAGTTATTTATTTTGTCAGCAGTTGGAACATACAGCTGCTCATGTTTGTTAGTATTTCACATTCATCATTACATTTATTTGCTTTACTTGCAAATTGGTATGAAATGTTACTTCTCTTTCCAGCCAAATAAATTACAAACTGTAGATATTACAGGCATTATAGAGAAATAAGAATTAATCGTGAATGGGATACAAGGATGAGAGGGAGGGGAGACACAAAAAGGTGCTCACTCTTAAAGATTTAACCCAAATTCTGCTGAGAAAGAGGATCTGAAGGCTTCGAAGTCTGTGCTGCATGTTGTGTACACAGTAACGTATCCACTCGGTTTAGTATTTGCCAGGCAAATCACAAAGCCCTCTCAGGCTACAGCAGCATATAATCTCCTTGAATGTTTTCCTGAGCTCCTGACTCCGGAATGCGTAGATGAGTGGATCAATGATGGAATTGCACATGATGAGGATGAGGTAGAAGTTAAAGTGGGACATGAAGCACACACAGTAAGGGTTGTAGGGGCAGGAGATGTAGAAAATGAGGTGCAGGAAAAATGGAGCCCAGCACACAACAAAAACTCCAATCAGGATGGTGAGAGTGATGGCCCCTTTCATGTTGGCCCCTTGGCGAATAGGACCAGTCCCTGGAAGAACGGCAATCTTTTTGATATGCATCCGAGCCATCATGAACATGTGGACATAGAGGGATGCCATGAGAATGAGCATAGTGAAGAACATGCTAATAAGGCAGATGATGACAACACTGCTGTCAGAGTAAATGATGAACAGAATGCCTGAGACTGTGCAAGCAGCCCAGATGCATGTGATGATGACCCCTACACGCTTCACCGTCATGATATTATGGTACTGGAGGGCGTAAAAGATAGTAAAGTACCTGTCCACTGCTATTGAGAGGAGACTGCAAATTGATGCAAGCAAGGAACTGCAAATCACTGAGTCAATGACATTGTCAATGTTTATGGTAAAGCTCTGTGCATCTGTATCTGTATTGTTTAGCAGCGTGATGACAATAGTTTCAGATCCATTAGATACACTCACTAGCATGTCAGCCACTGCCAAGCTACAGATGAAGAAGTACATGGGCGAATGGAGGTTCTTGTTCTTGGCTATCGCCACAATGACTAAGACGTTTTCCAGCAAGCTGATGATTCCCAGAGTCACAAACACTTCAGGGGATACAAAGAGTTGCTCGTAGCAGCCTCCCGAGGAGTGGCCCTTTGCATTGGGCTCGCTGGCACCGCTGTGCAGTCCGTAGCTGTGGTTCCAGAAATGGAGAGGCTGGAGTGTCCCATGGTGCTGGGTGAAATTCATCTTATGGAGATCCCCTTTCAGCTTCCTGCTTTTAAAACTCCTGTTCCTTTTGCATTCCTTTGAAAACCTTCTTTGGCTTTTCAGCTTGGGAAGAAAAGAAAAATAGCCAGCACCGAGGCAGGCAGCAGTTCAGAACACTTTGACTGCTGTTACAAAATAAGGTTTCAAACTCAGAACTGGTTTACTCTCTCACAGATGCAGTTTCTGATCATCATCACATTTACCTTGGTGATCTATGTTACAGAGTCCAAACAGTCTGTAAGTTTGCATCAGATCCTCCCCTATGGTCAGTTCCCGTTTAGTTCAGTGGTATGCTGCAAGGCTTTTTTGTTCCCTTCCATTCAGAGAGGCAAACATAAAATGCCCAAGTGATTGCTGTGGAGCAGAAACTAATTTCAAACTGCAAGCACCAGTCTCTCTGTCAGACAGTGCATGCTGGCTGCCTGTTTTATGGTGTGTGGAGGAGAAAAATATTCAGGGCACTCTCCGCCTCTGCTTTGCCTTCCAGCCAATGGGGCTCAGGAGCTGCAGAAAGTCGAGGGGCTGCCGATTCTGAGCCTCTCTGAAACATCACAGGGCACAGTAGATTCAGATGCAGCATGAGCTACCAGTAATTACAGGAAAGCAGATGGGCTACGATAGATTTGTTTCCCTTCTTTAACTTCTCAGAATAGTATTTTAATATTGATTTTTAATTAGCAATCTTAGAGAACTGTACTAGCAATCTTACAGAATTCCTGCAGCTGAACTGATGGCTTTTTAATTTTTAGACTGTGATTTACTGTGATTTACTCTTGCCCTTTCTATGGCACAAAGTTGCTCTGCCTTGTATATGTGACAAAATAGGAAAAGGGCAAGGAGGCAAAAGAATGCTTATTTCCTCTTGGTTATCTCTCCCAGATCTCCCTTGTATTGGTAACTTTTCTGTGCCTTAGTTGTCCATTTGCAAGATGTCTTGTTGCAAGGTTGCTTTGTACTTTCTAAGCTGCTTAGAATTTTTAAGAAAAGGAGACCATATAAGGACCAAGAACAGAACAAGGAGCCAGAGTCACAAATGGCTTAATAAATTGTCCTAAAGAAAGTAGTTTTTCCCAGGTAATAGCCTTCTTCATCATCTTATTTCTAGGAAGGAAAAGATGATAGAGTTGATTGCAGAAGCCTGTTGCCATCAGGAGTTAGGATGTTGGGCAGAAAAAGAAAGGTCAATATTGAGAATAGATGAAGGAAAGCAACAGGAGACAAATTTGCAACCTGTAAGAAATGGGGCTCACACAGTAGTAAAGACACAAAGGCATCAATAAAACTCCTCAAAGTCCATCCCGACGGATGTCCCCGTGCTTACCTGGCATAAGCTGAAAGTCAGCTTGTGTGCAGTCTGCCAGGGAAAGCCCTTGAAAAGAAGGAGGGAAAGAATGCCAAATGAATATGAAGAGACAGGGACAAAAGTTGTTTTGCTGTTTCCTCTTCAAGCATTGCAACTGAGGACTGAAAAACAAGTATACTAAATTAAGCCTAAAGTACAGGTGGATTTTAAAGCCATGGAAGCTATAGAAAGTCAGTCACTACACCTGAGAGCAATGTTTGCAAGGAAGTTGTTTGAATGCACATTTCCAGTCAACTACCAGGAAGGCTACGGGGGAGTCTGTATCTGATGCAAGAGTCTATTTTCTTGAACCTCTCAAACTTTTTTCATCTTCTGTGCATTAGCTGGTTTTAAAATGAATGGCTATAAAGAGATACAGGAATACAACATGCACGTGGAAGCATGACTATCTGTATTCAACATCCCAGCACCAGGGTGAAGCATGATTTTACTTTCACATTTGGATTTGCTATAGATCTATGGTTATAAAGACCTATATCAGAAGAAAAGCCTCAGCCAATTATTTCTGGGCCTTTCCCCAGACAGATTGCTTCATAAAGCTGAAACATAAACATCCAAGACAAACAAAATAACTTGCAGCACAGGAAATCCCACATTTATCAGTTTGGAAAACATCATTCACCAGCAGCATCCTTGCAATGAAAGAATAGTTTGCTGCTGGGAGGGTGAGATTTACTTTCCTTTCAAGACATAATGCAAGCCAGGATTCAAAAAGATTTATTATCTAGTTACTGATCCCTGGGCCAGTATACACTAACTCCTGCCACAGACAGGACTTGTATACCTAACCCTTAAGGACATAGCTACAATGCGAGAGCAATGAGAAAATTTATATAAAGACTGACGTGGGAGAGCAGCATCTCCCCAGCCAAGGTATTTTGCTACACCTGCAGCCAGAAATGTGTAATCTTCAAGTTATCCCAGGGAAGCAGCTACTCAGCATCCCGTCCTTCATCACCCCCTCCATGCTGGAATTGCCCACGGCACAGGGATCACTCTCCTTCACCTACTTAGGTGGAGCTAGAGCGGGATAGGCTGGCAAGAATAGAGAGAGGCTATCTGCAGAGGATACTGCCCCATTTGCTCCAGCTGTCTGTCTGTCTATGCCTCTTTTGGCTCCTCTCTTTCTCTGCACATTATCTCTCTCATCCCCATTTAACTTTCCATTTACTATCTCTCTTCACTCAGAAGCTATCCAGAAAATGCTCCATGCTTGATTTTTCTCTGGACGTGGTCAAAGAAATGCAACATTGGTTATAACAAAGCAAAGCAAAGGACACTTCTCTCCTACCCACAGCCATCACTCACCTCAAAACTTCTACTTATGTTCTTGGGGCAAGGTTGTTTCGGTGTGTTAGCCATTCATATTTGTGAGATGAGGGTACATGACTGGAAGCAGTAGTCTTATGGTAGCTTAGCAGCTCAGTTGAAGCACTGAAGAGGTGATGTACCATTAGCCTGCTCTGAGTAGAAGGCAAAACAAGTTATATGAGCACTTTTTTAAAAGAGAGAAGATGTATGTATGTCTAAATACTTCTACAGTAGAAGATGGATACAAGCCTCTGGCTCCCACTTAAAAAACCTAAACCACATAATGTTAAAATCACTCAAAGGATCCTAGCTCTCTCATGCCTGAAAATATGTCAATATTTCAATTTTTTTAGTCATAGATAATGGGAGTATTGCCTAATATATATAGCCTAAACTGTTTCTTAAATTTTAAAAAACAAAGCTGAGCTAATATTTCTTTCAAAAGTGGTGGCTGGCAAGCTTTTCAGCACCATGGAAAAACAGCCATGGCTGCAGAAAACTATAAACGGTAACAGTGATACACTAATATGAGCTCCAGCTCTTAAGAGAAATGAAACATCAATGAAGGTTTGGTTCCAGCCTCCCCTTTTAAGATAATGAGGAATCATATGGTAAAAAAATATTATTTTGACCTGTCTTTAAATATGTCCATTTTAAGACTTCCTCCTACACAATTCCCCCATGTCCTATGCTCTGTTTCCAGCTACTCCCCGATGCCCACCCTCCAAATAGGGTTACAGCCATCTCCACCTCACAACATTTTGAAGAGCTGAATTATCCTCTGACAGTTGCTTTTGAAAGTCAGAAGAAAGCATTCACTGGAATCAATAATAAGGAGATAAAATCCCAATAGTGGTACAGGAAGACAGGCAGAGTCATGAGCAAGCTGTATAGGTCCACTATGGGAGAAAAAGAAAGGTAAAGGGAGTTAACACAAGCACTTCCCTGCTCAAATGCACAGTCTGAGAACCCTTTGAATCCCATGTTCTTGTTGCTCAAGCACAGAGATGATATTTACCACTTCAACAGCTGTCAGTGGAAACAGATGAGGGGCTGTGAGAAGCTGGGTAGAAGGAGGAGCCAAAGAAGCAGATTATTAACACTTAATCAGTCCCTCAGAGTTGTGCAAGCGTGCCAGTACTGTGCAAAGGGCGCTGCTCCATTTACATGCACAAGCATAACTGAAAGAAGTTTTTGATACATGTGCTCAGATCCAATTTTTCAGCACATTCAAAATGTCAAGTCCATAACACAGTAAAAAGATTGTAGTATATTTTAGCATGCTGATTTTGAAATATAAAAGGAGCCAGGCAATTAAGCTTTGGAAGCTTCTATGAGATTTTAGCCTGCATCATATCTCTATATTACAGCAAAGGCAAATTCTGCCTAACACTCAAAATGCTCACCAAAAATGGTTCAAACAGTGCAATGTACTTTTGATCCTACCCACAGATGTCATTGGAAGAAGCATTCCTTTGATTCTTTCTAGCTCCAGTAAATTAGCATATAAGCAATATGGAAACACTTGTTTGTTCTTGTATTTGGACTGGTAGTTTTTTTAAGTTGGTCCTTGAACGTACTGTTTTATTTTCCAGCAAGTCTGATACAAGCATGAAGAGACATATCAATGCAGACCTGACTATCATAAACTTCAGATGCTGCCCTAGGATATGTAGGAATACAGAAGAGAACTGGCACTGGGTTTGGATGAAGTAAAGGTGATGCAGATAGAAAAGAAAATCTACATGGTAGAAAGCCACTAGTTCTGCAGTATAGAACTTGAGATGTCTATGTGTAATGTTACTTCACAGAAAAAAAAATATTGTAGACCAAATAAGTTATTATTCTTTGTGCTTGTACAAACAAGTTCAAAGAAGAAGTAATGAATCAGTGGGGGATCTTAGTCAATCAAGAATAAATTGTGTAGTCAAGCTTCTATTCAGTCACAGAAATGTTGGTTGGATTAAACTTCTGCAAGTCATCTCATCCAGCTTCTGCTCTGAATGGGATTGCCACCATTATTGGATCATATCAGCTGTGGCTTTGTCTAGCAAGATCTTGAAAACTTCCAAGAATGGAGATCCCACAGCCTCCCTGGACAACCTATTCTTGTTTTTCATTCCTTTTCTAGTTAAAGTTTTTCCTAATCTGAATCCCCCAAGACTAGGTTACATGTACTACAGGAGAAGCAGAGGGAGCTGGACTGGTAAAGGTTGTTGAAGAGCAAGCTAGGGGGTGATCTAATAGCAGATGAATCTAATCTAATAGCTAATGAAAGAGAAGGTACAAAGGTTATAGGGCCAAGCTCCTCTTGGTAGTGCCAGGGAATATAACAAGAAGCAGCAGTCACAGATTGTGGCTTGGGTATGTAACCTAAGTTCCTGCCCATTGTGACAGCCCTTCGATGAACCATCTTCAGTTTCTCCACATCCCTCTTGCACTGTGGGGGCCCGAAGTTGAACACTGTTCTGGGTACAGCCTCACCCATGCCAACTAGATGGGGATAATAACCTACTTCAATCTGCCAGCTGTGCTTCTGCAAATGCAGCTGAGTGCCCGCTTTGGCCCATTTTCAGTGATAGTGCACTTTTGGCTTATATTCAGGCTGACATTCAACATAACCCCTTTGCTGTCCTTTTCAGCAAAGCTGCTACTCAGGCAGTCAGTGCCTGTTGTGTACTGATGCAT